GTTACCTTCCACAAAGTATGTATCAGTCTCTGGATCATACAAGCAGTACTGTACTATGGCACCGATACTATTAGACTTGAATGTAACCAACACCTATGAAAAGTTTTCAAGTTGTTTCATAGGTGCGTACAACTCACACAAAGGAGTGGATTGTTTATGAAGCACTTTGAAGTGAGAAATGGGTAAAGGAGTGGACCCATTGAAATTAGAATACTACATCTAAAGAGATCTTGACTTGACCGTTTTGACCAAGCCATTGTACAAGATGTGCCGCCAGAAGCTTTGAGACATGATGAAACTCATAGGCTGAGTGCAAACTTAGTTGAAAAGAAACATTGGAGGTGACTGGGGATGATTCAGCTTACCTTGAAGAAGGTGCATGCATGGAGAGGGAGAGGGAGAGAGAGAGAGAGAGAGAGAACTTCCCTCAGACTATCCTTTACCTGCTCTGACCTTTTCTCAACATAGACTGATGTTCTTAGGTTTGCTAGTGTCACTTCATTCCTACTCACATTTCCTTCTTGACAGTCTCTGGGAGAGGACAGGGTAGGCATTTTGCCTTTGTTCTGAAGAAAGTGAGGGGGCAGCCATAGTTCTCCACCTTAATTATCTAGAATAGGATTTGTGTTTTCTTTTCTATATCAATATATTTCTCTAATCAGCCCTAACTTTACTGTCTTAAAATAAGAATTGTGAACAAAATTGAATTCGAGTGGGAGATGTGTTCTGCTAACCCTTCTGTTATTCAGGGATTGAGTCCTACTTCCAAGGAAGAGGGACAACAAGATGGGAGGCCGAGGCAGAGTGAAACGGAAGGAGAAGGAGTGGGCTTGTCTGTTTTTGGCTCTAGGCCTGTGCAGCCCCAAGAAGGTTATAAGCGAGGGAATGAAACCTCCACAGAAGAAGATTGCCCACTCCAGGCTTATTATTGCATGAATGAACTGAACTGAACTCAAGCAAGACCTGAACTTGTGCATCACTCCCTGCCCCCTTTCCCCTCTTGTGCAACTGGGAGAAATACTTTATCAGCAGATTTATAGAAGGTGGAGTAAGTCATACAAAACAACTTCTGGGATAGGGAGTAAAGGAGAGAGGCTCTCTATTCTCACCCTATAGCTTCTCAAACCACTCTCCCTTTCCAGTTAAGAAAGAGCTGCAGGATGAACTGTAAAATAGCAAATGGTGAGTCTTTTGTCCACCATCTTCCCCAGAGATACTGCTACAGGTCATTAGCATCAGTGGGAAAAGGTTAATTTATTTTAAATTCAGGGTAGGCTCTCATGGGGGTGCACGCGAATCCTCAGAGATGAACATTATGTATTCCTGTGCAAAAACATTGTCTTTCTCTGTGTTTGCCTTCATTTCTACATTCATCCCAAATGTATATAATTGCATGGTGAGAATGTGAATGGCAACATTATTTTAAAAATGACTATTTCAACATATAGTCACATGCTGAACGCTTTTTACTGACAGCTAGCAAGAGGTACAGAGAATGTAACCAATACAACTGTGGGAGGTGATAACCGAGTCATCAGTTTGAGCCCTCCAAAATATGTTTTTGCACTCCCGGAAGTATGATTGTTGTCCTGCTTAATGGGTTAACTAGAGAGAGTGGATGGCCAAGGTGACCTAGCAAACCGTTCATGGGTGGTGATTGAGAAATGAGTCTGTGTCCGCTTAGTGTGAATGAAGTGTCCTAGTAGAAAGAGGGCTAAGCACGGATAAAGCAGTGTTTTTGTTTATTGACGTGAATTGTTGCCAGAGAATTGCTTGACTCATTGGGAATAAATTTGAACTGCTTCTCTTATACAAACTGTTTTCATATGTTGACATTGGCACTGGTTTATCAGTGAAATTAGAACTGCAGAGTACGTACATGGATTTGTGATATGCTGACTGTCCCTCCTATTTGCTTTTGATAGGCAGGAAGTGAATGCCCAATCAGAGCTGTGT